ATCTAAAAAATATTAAATTATATAAAAAATGTTATTATTATATTACTGTTATTTCATATACTATTATTTTTCTTTTATTATTTAATTCAGTACCAAATTGACTATTATCTAGAAAATATTAAATTATATAAAAAATATTAGCTATTATCTAGAAAATATTAAATTATATAAAAAACATTATTATTATTTCATATATTATTATTTCTCTTTTTAAAAATCAGTCACGGTAGAAACATGTATGTATTATATAAAATGTCGATAAGTTTACTGTCAAGAGACACGCATTCACCGCGTTGTTTCGCGTGTTTTCAGCGCTTCTATCCATATGTTTTGCGTATAACTTTACGTACTGTACTTGAGTAGCGACTCGAGTCGGTTCACCTGGAAACGCAACGCGCTCTCGCGTCGTATCAATTTCCAAGCCGGGACAAATTAGAACGACACACGCGAGACTCGGATAAGCTCGCGCCATTCTTTACTCGCCCGTTTGATAACGGCCCCCAGCACTCGATCATCGTAATGACGTTCTCGCGTATCAACGTTGGTCTAGGCCAACGTACCTATCTCTGACGTGAACTAATTTGCACGTAACTACGTGCTGTTTTTATCGAACCGCGGGGGGGGGGGGAGAGTGGGGGTAATAAAAGGGTGATTACGTTTTCTTGAAATATCTCGAAACTGATATGCGCATCCGATGTATTATTCAGGACGATGTTTTAGGAACGTGTCTACGGAGTTGTTTGATCGAGACGAAAGAAAAGGAGACTCTGAACTGAACAGTTTTTTAATATTCAATAAAATGGCGAAACGAAAGGTGAAGAATTGTACAGGAAATTTTGTTGCGGAATCGTTGCGAAAATTTCAATGGTCAAGAAAAATAACTGGCGTGCGATTTTGATTAACGCGTAGCGGCGCGCGAAACTGTTTTGAATTTCGATTAATCCGCGTGTTGATCGCGCGGCGACTTTCGTTGTCGCCAATTATCGTTTATTGTCAATCGCCGATAATTACGATTAAACCGGTTTCATTAGCAGCGGCACGGTTGTTTAGTCGTATCGATAAAGTGTCACGGTAAATTTACACTTTTCCATAATTACACACAGTCCCGCCGGCGTTGGCGACGATTTTTGCTCGGCGTCGAACGTACTTCCGGCGAAATCTGCCAAACCGGGATGTTCTCGAAATATTTTCACGCGATGAATACACGAAGAGAACGTTTCTCCTTCGAATCATTGGAATACTCCTTTTTATTTTTATTTTCATTACTTAGAGTCGCGTCAAACTTTTGTACGAGTTATTAGCGACGTAAAACTCAATCTTGCCAGTTGTTATATAGGTTAGTCTGTCTTAATTATGTTAGGTGTGTTAGTTTTAGAATTTTTTTTTTATTTGCATTATTTAAAGTCGCAGTAATCGCTTGTGTAGGTTATCAACGAGTTGAAACTTGAAATTTTGTATATGCAATTTGTTATACAGGTTAGACTGTCTTAGTTAGGTTAGGTTTCATTATTTAAAATTGCATTAACTCCTTGTGTAGGTTATCAGCGACTTGAAACTTGAAACCTTGCAATTTGTTATGTAGATTAGACTGACTTAGTTAGGTTAGGTGTGTCAGCTTTCTTTTTCAGTTTCATTATTTATAGTCTTATTAATTGCTTATGTAGGTTATCAGCTCAGATTTGAAACTTGAAATCTCGATAATTTCTTATATAGGTTAGACTTTCTTATTGTTAGTTGAGTTAGGTGCATTAGTTCATTTTTTTATTTTCATTAGTTAAAGTCAATCTCTTGTATAGGTTATTACCGACTTGGAACTAAATCTTATCAATTTATTATGAAGGTTAGTCTGTCTTGGTTAGGTTAGGTGTGTTAGTTTTAGAATTTTTTTTTTATTTGCATTATTTAAAGTCGCAGTAATCGCTTGTGTAGGTTATCAACGAGTTGAAACTTGAAATTTTGTATATGCAATTTGTTGTATAGGTTAGACTGTCTTAGTTAGGTTAGGTTTCATTATTTAAAATTGCATTAACTCCTTGTGTAGGTTATCAGCGACTTGAAACTTGAAACCTTGCAATTTGTTATGTAGATTAGACTGACTTAGTTAGGTTAGGTGTGTCAGTTTTCTTTTTCAGTTTCATTATTTATAGTCTTATTAATTGCTTATATAGGTTATCAGCTCAGATTTGAAACTTGAAATCTCGATAATTTCTTATATAGGTTAGACTTTCTTATTGTTAGTTGAGTTAGGTGCATTAGTTCATTTTTTTATTTTCATTAGTTAAAGTCAATCTCTTGTATAGGTTATTACCGACTTGGAACTAAATCTTATCAATTTATTATGAAGGTTAGTCTGTCTTGGTTAGATTAGGTGTCTTAGTTTTAGGATTTTTTTCTTTATTTTCATTATTTATAGCCGCGACAATTGCTTGCGTGGATTATTAGCGACTTGAAACTTGAAATCTTGTTGTATATACAATCTGTTACATAGGTTGGACTGTCTTAGGTTAGGTTTCATTATTTAAAATCGCATTAACCTCTTGTGTAGGTGATCAGCGACTTGAAACTTGAAATTTTGCAATTTGTTACATAGATTAGACTGTTTCTATCCAGTGACATCATACCGACGAGTTCAAGAGAAAGATAAAACGACGAATTATTCTATACGGTTCGGTCACTCGTTATGGTCCGCGAACCAGTTGCCAGCGCATAGGTTATCATTCAAGGAACGACTTATGTTCGATTGACATTTATCATTAGCAGTGTATTTTCTGCATAATACGTTCCACTGTTAATTGAAGTTTGTACAGGTCACAAATTGGGGAATCTTCTTTATCGAAAAGATACTGGAATGGCTGGAATATTGTAGATCCCAAAGTCAAAAAAAAAAAAAAAAAAAAGGAAAAGAAATCTTATATCGATATGCACATATATACGTACTCACGATCGAACGAAGTCAAGTTCAGTTCGTTAATCGAAACAAACGAGCGTCCGTGCAAACGATGTTTCCGATCTCTCTCTTTCTTTCTCTCCCTCGAAATAGTAAATAAATCTCCCGTGATGGTTATCAACGACGCCCGATAATCGCCGGCGAATTAGAATTTCAGAAAAAATTCCAGCACCCTCTTTCCTCCGTAGCTTTCGTTTCGTTCGTGGCTCGTTCGCGCAGAATGACGCGAAACGTGAAAGGGAAGAAAACGGCGAAGAAGAGGTTGCCAAGGAGGATTGTTCGAAAATTCTGGCCGACAAAGATCGCCGCGTTGATCGTCTCTGCTATACAAGATCTTCGCGAGACGAAAGGATCCACACCTAGCAAGATCATTGGGTACATTAGCTACGCGTCCGACATGGCCGACGGAAAGGTTAAGCGACAAGTGAGTTTCTCGGATAGATCAGAGTCGAAAAGAATCGTTCTGCGTCGTTCTCAGATTGGAACTCCAGTTGAGGAATACGTACGGTCGAAAAATTCTCTGTTTCCTTTTTTACTGCATTTTTTTAGAATCTATATGTCAAAAGAATTGAGAAAGGGCTCCTTTTTTTTCATTTAATTGCTCGTTAAATCTGAGAAAGTTTTTTTTTAAGAATCTTCTTCTCCAAATCATTGAAATATAAATGTTAAAAAAGGAAGGTGAAAGAAAGGTGAATTTAACCTCTTGCCACGCACGTCGAGAATTATTTGTCCCAAAATTGCAATATTTCCTCAGTTTTAAGTATATTTAAGTAGAACTTAAAACAGGCGAAACAAATAATAAATTTATTCTACTATTCTCTAATAATTTCTATCTATTTCTAGAAAAAGAAAGCGGCGAATTATTGCATACCGTTTCGGTCACTCGTTATGGTCCGCAATCAGTTTGTCAGCGTTTAACTGATCGAAATTTGAAATTCAGTCATACAAACTGTATACAAATATAACAAAGCTTGCGAATCGCTTTGTGTTCCAACAGCAGACGTCAAACTTTCACTAAATATTATCCCGTTATTTCGCCTTGAGATAGCCAAAGTGAGAGACGTTGAAAAATTTAGTAGTAAACCTGCGAGAAATGATCAAAGACAATCAGAGTTTGTTAAAATATAAATTTGACGTGACTGTTGAAAAATTTATTCACGAGAGCTTTAATTGGCTCAGTCATCTATATTATTAACATAGTATTTTTGTATTTAATTATTTACATTAATTACTATTTATAGAAAAATAAAATTAAAGAGATTTCTTACAATTTTTTGACAACAGCTTGTACGTATATTTTTCTCTCGAGAAAAAAACGAGCGTTCAGAATCGATTAGATCAATGTTAATATATATTTTGCTATCATTCTTCAACTCTACGCAACATAATTAATTATTACAATATAAATTATTATTTAAACCATTAATATCACTTGTCTTTATTAACGAATCACGTGAAACACAATTTTTCGAGTTCCTTCGGCCTGCTACGCGCGCGCCTGACTCGTTCATTCAATTGATTCAAGGTGAAGTCCGTTTTGAAGAGAGGTTTGAAGTACGGTATACTGAGGAGGCGCGGCGGACACTATTTCCTTCCGACGGGCGACCAATTGGACCGCGCGAATCGCGTCGCTCTGAGGTTCGCCAAGCTACCCTTGCCCCGCAAGGTCGCTCCGATGACGGATCGAAGAAGGACGAACAAGTCCACGGTGAAAGCACGGAGAACGAAACGGCTCGTGCCATCTCGTCCAGTTTTAATCTCGCCTACGGTCAGCTCCACCAACACGATCTTCAACGTCGACGACCAGTAAACCAGGCGGATTCGTTGCCGAGGCCACTGTCAACATTTTTTTTTTTCAAATTCGAAACCTTCGCTGAACGTCGAATTGGCAGGAGACTGAATTCCGTTTCGTGGCTTCATCGATCGCTCGTTAATGTAACATGTATCCAGCGACAAATTTAAAAGTGATGATGTCTCGCTCGAATTTTGTTCACCTTGGACCTCGTAATCGAACGTAAATCACGATGCGTTACGATACGTTTCTTCGATACGTCGTTTCAACGTGCTTGTGCTCGTTAAAAACATTTCTGAAAAAAAATTTGTAATTATATTGCGAACTACAGTTCGAGAACTTTCACGGATCTCGTTAAAAAGTCTCGATCGTATTAAACGTGCGATCGAAGTTTTCCTCCCCCTCCCTCTGTTCTGTTGTTCAAACGGCTGGCAACTTGGCCTCTGAACAAACTGCTTGTTCAGTCGCGCGTACCTGAAAACTCGAATAATAAACGAAATAAGCGAATTGCGACGTTTTAAGAAACCATGTCCGTTTTAATAAAACGCGTGGCAAAACAAACGAGATGACGAGCGAAGGTGGATGTTGAGAAAATTTGAGAAAACGCCGGAAGTGCGAGAACGTGCCATTTGGAGGAATTTCATTGTCGGAAGGATTTCAATACTTTACGAGGCTAAATAAAGTGGCGAACGATGGTGGATAGAGATAAAGGGGGAAAGAGGATCCGATGAGACGGATGAATCGTTTTCTATTACGATATATCGATCGGGCGCGTCCGCGTTTCCTTCGCCTCTCCGCGCTCGCCACGCGGCCCGGGAGAATTAAGTGAAACGAGGGGCGAGCATTTTTCGTAGATTGCACGGAAGGCGGCGGTCGTCCGCCATTTATAAAACTTTTCAGCTTCTTACCCTTCCCCTCCCGATAATAAACTTAATAGCTTCCGAAATTTACGCGATTCGGCCGCCACCGAAAGGAAAATTTCGGCGCGGTTCATTTTTCTAACTTGCTCTCACCTATTTTCACAAGTATATACAGGGTGTTTCCTGTAACGCGACGCACGATTTTTTCTCCTACTTACAGCCATCTAACAAAACAAAAGTTGTACGGTGGGTATAAAAAAAATTTCGAAAGCTGTTTGTTCTCATAGCTAAATCAAGGTCACTTTGGATGAAACAAATAGGAAGACATAATTTTTTTTTTTCCACCGTATTGTAGAGAACATCGAGACGAATTGAAAACACGTATCACGTGATATTTTTATTAACATGTTACTCCATTTACAGTAGTGGTGATGTGAACATTTAGCTTAGTGTAACTTCTCGTCGTATTTGATTCCAAGACAGTGTGAACATAGTTGATCTCAGATTACTGAATGTTAACATAGGGCTAGAATTTATTTGCAGTGTGTCCATTGCGGTTCCTTCGTTTCATATTTCCAATATTTGGTGCAAAGTAATCGCTTGCAACAATGCGTTCTTTTTCTAATTTCGAGAGAGTTGAAATGCTGTGAATTATTGGCGAATGCAAGAGAAATTCTCGAGAAGCTACTAAAGTGTACAGAGATAGATTTCCGCAACGAAAGCAACCGTCTGAAGCAACGATTTCCACTACTGTAAATGGAGTAACATGTTAATAAAAATATCATGTAACATGTGTTTTGAATTCGTCTCGATGTTCTCTATAATACGGTGGAAAAAAAATTATGTGCTCCTATTTGTTTCATCCAAAGTGACCTTGATTTAGCTATGAGAACAAACAGTTTTCGAAATTTTTTTTATTGATACCTGCTGTACACCTTGTACCGTTCAACTTTTGTTCTAAACGTTTTTTTTTTTTTTGTCAGATGGCTGTAAGTAGGAGAAAAATCGTGCGTTCGCAGGAAACACCCTGTATAAAGGATGAGTGTTGTAACGTGACGACATCAAATAACTCGTAAAATATTTTGTTGTACGAAAAAATGTTTCAGACAGAAGTTGCATGGCTTCCAGGTGGGACGTATAGTAATGACTTTTATGCTATTTTGCTTCTTTTTTTTTATCAGGATACGAAGATCAACTTCAACTTTTTAAAATGAAATAGGTAATATTTTTTACCGAATTCGGATAACGCGTTGAATTCTACATAAAAAAAAAAAAGTATTACACCAAATGGGGTCTAAAATACATAGTTACTGAGATTAACGGTCTTTTCTAATACAATGTAAAAAAATATTTTTACTAATATTTCAGTAACTATGTATTTCAGACCCCGTTTGTTGTAATACTTTTTTTTATGTAGAATTCAACAATTTCTTTATCCGAACTAGGGATGAAATATTAACTTTCACTATTAACTAAATATTTTGCTTTTTTATCATGGTATGAAGGTCACCTTCAATTTTTCAAGTGAAATGGTTAATATTTCTCCCCGAATTCGGATAACGCGTTGAATTCTACATAAAAAAAAAGTATTACACCAAATGGGGTCTAAAATACATAGTTACTGAGATTAACAGTCTTTTCTAATACAATGTAAAAAAATATTTTTGCTAATATTTCACTAACTGTGTATTTCAGGCCCTGTTTGTTGTAATACTTTTTTTTTAATGTAGACTTCAACAAATTCTTTATCCGAATTAGGGATGAAATATTAACTTTCACGTTATTTTGCTTTTTTATCATGGTATGAAGGTCACCTTCAATTTTTCAAGTGGAATGGTTAATATTTCTTCCCAAATTCGGATAACGCGTTGAATTTTACATAAGAAAAAAAGTATTACACCAAATGGGGTCTAAAATACATAGTTATTAAGATTAACAGTCTTTTCTAATACAATGTAAAAAAATATTTTTGCTAATATTTCACTAACTGTGTATTTCAGACCCTGTTTGTTGTAATACTTTTTTTTTATGTAGAATTCAACAAATTCTTTATCCGAATTAGGGATGAAATATTAACTTTCACGTTATTTTGCTTTTTTATCATTGTATGAATGTCACCTTCAATTTTTCAAGTGGAATGGCTAATATTTCTTAGTTACTTGAGATTATTTTTTACTGGCGCCATGACAATTGGGATTCATCTTCTGGTTAGCAAACTTAGTAAAGATTGCACATTTATTTTTGTTTCGCGGTTTCGCGAATGAAAGTAGCTCTTTTTACAGGACACGCGTAACCAAGGTTAAGTAATCTCAAAGTAATTGTACCAGGTTTCCTTTTTTCTTTTTCTTTTCTTTTTGTCAGACTCGGAAAAGCGATTCAGGTTTGAACAGACGCTGAGACGAGATTCGGACAGAGTTTCTACAAGTGTTTCATTAAAACACGGAATGATAGGTATAACTCTCTGTCGCGGACGGAACATTAGATTATTCAGCGTAACGTTGTCCGGGGGGGTCCAGTTTCCCATGAAATTCGAGAGAAACAACACGGCCCGTGTCGGTTCTATAATCCGCGAAAACATAGTCGAGCTATGAACAACGGCTAGCCAGGAACAACGCGAATCCGTTTAAATGGTAATTCGGATAGCTAGTTGGCACCTAGAGGCTGCACGCACAATATCGATGCATCCACCACCCCCCTCCCCCCTCCCCCCCCCGATTTCGCTTGATCGTATGTTTAAACAAGAGAATCGTTCGTATACACGCATAAATAGTCATTTTTTCGTATCGAAAAACGTCGACGTTTTACACGAGGTTGTTTCATGTTCTTTTTTCTCTCTCTCTCTCTCTCCCTCCCTCCCTATTAATCGCCACTCGCGTCAGTTTCACGCACACCTTACAAACGACAGATAAAGCGGCCGCGCTACAGCGCAAATTGCCACGACGAGGTGAATTTCATTTTACGGTCATACGGTTTTATTTCGCCGGCGGAATTTGCCGGTTATTTAAGCATGCGAGAAACGGTTTCCCGATATATATATATATATAACATCGGTGGAGGGGGCGAAGCGGATATTTCTTTCCCCTGATATTTATTGCACTTTTATTTCTGTATTATTGGACTACCCTTGATCCCCGATACGCCGACTACTTTTATTCCTCCGCGATACTGGAATTTCAGTGCCCCTGACTGTGGCAAAAGTGCATGGGAATAAACGTTAAGCATTTTCACGCTGTTTCACGTCCGTGTGTGAGAGAGAGAGGGAGATAGACAGAATGTTAGACATTGAAAGAGTGTTTCCAATCTCGTCGTGTGGTGAAATCTCTAAATTATGAAATTTCCAGTCGACGTGCGCATGCAACGACAAGGAGACAGTGCTTTGGCGAATGATCGAAACGGCGTGTCGTTCAAGCGAACGTCAATGCGTGACGATTGAATTTTCTTTCGGGCGGGAGGGAGCGTGCCGGTTTTCAAAGGCTCGTAAAGAACACACTTCGGCGAGTGGAGGGGGCGTAAAAAAAAAAAATGAAAAAAAAGAAAGAGAAGAGGATAGAAAATGGAAATGAACGAACCGTTCGAATCGAACGACGACGGTGGCAAAATTAAAAAGTTACGGAGCAGGTGTACCGCCCCTCCCCTTCTGCGCGAGAAAAGACCGCAAGAGAACAGGAAAATCCGAACACGACGAAATGGATATTTCACGTTTTACGCTCGGTGTAATTCAATTGCAAATCTTGAATCGTAATATCTTCCGCCAGGTCGGGCGTTTCTCTTATCCAGAAGTTGAGCTGTCGTGGAAGGTAAATCGATAAGCACTTCTTGGAAATGTTACTGTTTTTCTTCGTACGATGAAAGAAGAGAAAGAGAGAGAGAGAGAGTATCTAGTATTTAAAAAAAAATAATGTAGTAGGTATGGTAGTATTTATCATCGATTCTTCAGAGACACTGTCCTCGGTGGTAAAGTTTTCATTCTGAGAGAAAGGAATCGATGGAATATCGTTAGCTTAGCGCGTATCACTCTTCAAATACTCTCTCTTTCCTATTATTATTATTATTATTATTATTTTTGAATAATACTCCACGAAAATAACATAGTTATTTATAAGCAAGTTCACGAGGATGAATTTATCTCGCGGAAACGGAGAAATAAATCTCCAAAATACTCGGCGAAAGAGCGAAGACGTCG